TCTCTATCTCTCTCTCTCTCTCTCTCACACACACACACACACGCACCTCTCACTCTCAGACACATACACACTCCCTCTCAGGCTCCCTCTCGCCCTCTCTCTCACGCACACATACACACTCCCTCTCAGGCTCTCTCTCTCTCTCACACGCACGCACGCACGCACGCACGCACGCACGCACGCACGCACGCACGCACGCACGCACGCACGCACGCACGCACGCACGCACACACACACACATCTTATATATAGCTGTAAACTTGTACATCGACCAAAAAAATAAAATTATATAAGTTTATGTACGTACCTTTACCCCTGCTTGAGTTGATCACACACACAGTGGGTATACCCCGATCGAGTATACTGGGTATACTCTACGTGCCAGCGCACATGGAGTACTTCTCTAGTCTTGGTATGGCCCTATAGTAGTAGTTAGTAAGTTTATAATTATGGATAATGCGATTGTGACAAATGACTTCAAAATCAAATGCATGATGCAGATGAATGTAGAACTAGAACAGCAAAACAAATATTCTTAAATAAATGTATTACTGGGTATTAGTATAAGAATAATAGTAATGCAGCTGATCTCCAATAATAAACATGCCCTAAAGTCATAACTGATAACTCGGTATAAACTGATTACAGAGACTGATTTGGGCTTCAGTTCGGATCGAGTCTTCTAACACTTCCAAATTTTAGAGGAAGTGTCTAAACAACCGGATCCGGTTTCGGAGCCCTGAAAACTAAACAACCGGCTCTCTCCTCTCTCTCNTACGTGTTTAGCTGCAGCCAAGGTTTGAAACGGTATTGTAACCTTAGCAATACCGTTTCTTGGAGCTAGGCCTAGTATATGCCTTTAACAACACTCAACATGAACGGTCAGTAACACTGACAGTAGCTCTAGAACTAGCTCTAGTACTATAGCCCGCGTACAGTTGCCGCAAACTGTACGCCTGCGCGCCTGCGCGCCTGCGGCAACTGTACGCGGGCTATATAGTAGGGCCTACTAGAGCTACTCTAGAACTATAGGCTATCGCCCTTGTTCGCCACAGGCTTGTAGTTGTGGCGAACAAGGGCTATAGTTCTAGAGCTACACTGACACTAACACAGTATCACTTAGAATCTTAGTGATCTTAGATACACTAATTTAATGTAATAATTTGTATTATGTAACCCAACAAGTCACACCAGCTACAATGACACCAGTGGCAGCACCAGGATTGTAAAAGTGGGGGGGGGGCAAGCTGAGGGCAAGAAAAAATGTTGGGAGGGGCAAAATGTTGTGATCACATAGCGCCAATTCGAGCACATAGCACAAGAACTAATGGGTGGGGACCGGGATCCAGGTGGCAAAGCCCCCAGAAGCTGAGCTTTTTTTAGCATTTTTGAGGTGAAAAATCAAGCCTCAAATAAACATGCTTGTAGAGCACTTCTGATCCATATCCAAACTTTGAATTTTACTGTAGTGCGCTAGTTCTGTAAATAAAAGCTATCCACGGAAATTTCTGTTTCGCGGAAAAATAAAGGGGAAAATCGTAGTGGCAGAAATGGAATAATAAAGCGGTAATTTTCCGCCAAAATCGGAAGGGTTGGGAGGTCTGCCACTCGATAAGAATTCAAAATACATAGACTAGGGTTAAAACCCAAAGATTGAAAGGCTACATTTTGGGCATATGGAGTAAAATTAATATTGTCATTGTTCCCGTGAACTGTGTCCTTAAAACCTTTGTACAGGGGCTGACTTGGGGGCAAAGGCTTTGACTGGGGGTGGGGGCCTTGTGCCGCCACTCCATGACACATGTTACATCACAGACACTTGGGACACAGTTAGTAAAAACTGAGAATAATATGAACCTGGCACATTCACAGAAACTACCCGTTTATTTCGCTTCCACTGTTGTGTCACTGTATATCAACTTGCTTTCACAAAAACTGATAGAACTATACTCAACTAGCCGC